GGGGGGCGTCTGAAGTAAGTTGATAGGTAAACAATACTCTGCTACATTACAATACTTTTAGTTAAATAGGCCGGGGGAGGGTTTGGGGGGCGGGGGGGACGACTTACTCTCGAAAAGAAGTGTCCAATTTTAAAACAAAAAACACAGTCATCATTACACGAGACCACGTTCGGGGGCGTGACTGAATGTACGGGTGTCATTGCACTTCGCACCGAATCGCTCAAGGTATGAAGGAGAGAGTCGCCCCCCCCCTCCGTTACCTGAGAGCACATATTTACACGCACCACCTACTTTCTGAAGATGCTCAGTGCAGTTTTGCTTTACTCTCCCCTCCCCCCTTTTACACACTTCTTTTTTCCTCTATTATTAAACGTACACTTCAACCTTGGCTTACGTAAACGACATACATATCCATGGCACAGATGATGCCCGTATTTAAAAGACTTTGGGGGGGGGGGGGGGTTCGAGGGTGTCGATGGAGTCGCACGGATAGATTATGGACTCTGAGGAGCAAATGCTGACGACGTGGATTTAACAGAATGGATGGCGCGTGTCAACCTTGGATGGGGTGTGTCAACCTTGGATGGGGCGTGTCAACCTTGGATGGTCATTCTACTAAGAGGAAACACTGATCACAAAACCCTCGTTACCTTGCATTGAGATGGACGGGTGCCCCACCACCCCCCTCCAAAAAAAACAGGAAAAAATGTCTACTATATTTTTTTTTACTATTCACTCTATTACTGGTAATACAGATGGTAGTCAGCTAAATCTGTTATCTGTGTATTAAATAACTACCACTGGTACATCATCGACCTATTGAATTGCCAAATCACTCGATACAAATAAGCGCTTTATTTCAACTAGACTGTATTCACATAATAAATTAGCATCACCTACAATACAGGATACATATTATAGATATATACTTTCACTTCTATCCTGACCAGATCTGTTTGCTCTCGTCCTCACATATATTCCACAACTTGTGATATCCAAGAGAATCGCCACACAACCTCTCAACACTGATGGCAGCCTTAAACCGTGTCCTCTCTATTGTATAGCATTACACTATTGGGTCTCGATTGATTTGTTGTTGTTTTTTTTAAATCTGATACGAAAATCGCATGCACAAAGTCATGCACATACAATATTTTTTTATCTTGGAAATGAAATCAGTCTGCTTCTGCGTTCCATACTATAAGTTAACTAGCTGAGTCAGTCGGGAAACGGGCTTCCAAAGCATTTGAATTCACGAAACTACTCTAAACTGATCTGGAGATGGTAGATGACGTTTTCTTGTTCTGGAAATCATGCGTCGGTTGATTGGAGAAATGTGAGGACTGTTGTTGCCTGTGAAAGTGGGATTTGTATGATCCCACCCTCCTCACACCAGGAGCACAGCCGCCTTCTCACCCAGACCCCGGCCATCTTCCCACCCAGACCACAGCCACCTCCTCACCCAGACCACG